AAGGAAAATCATTCTAGTGGGCTGCAGGCATGGAAGAAATTTAATAATTTTGGAGCCCAAGGGAGAATAAAGAGGAAAATGGGTGGGCATGGGATGCTTATACCATTTCTCTTGATAATAAGCCTTCCACAGCTGTGTTTGATGGTAGTGGAAAAGACAATGAAAAACATCAATATAAGTTTATAGATCTGCAGGAATTCAGCAAAATCGAACTGTAGATCTTGGTTGTAAGGGATGCAACAATGAAAAACCATTTCTGAACAATTTTGCCTACGATTGTGATGGTGAACCTATGGCAGGCATGCCAGAAGTGGCACACAGATGATCCTCCAGTTTCTGGTGCACTCATCTGCACCAGCCAGCTGGTCTTCGCACACTCATGTGTGCCAGAAACCGGAAGACCAGGTAGCCAGTGCACATAAGTGCACCGGAAATTGGAAGATCATCTTCCCGGCGCGTGCATGAGCATCGGGCGGCTGCTCTTCCAGTTTCCGGCACACACACACGCATGCCCCCGTTTCAGCACTTAGTGCAAAAAAAATTCGCCAACACTATGACAATGTTATGACATTCAAAGTTAATACCATGGAAAAAGAAGAGTATGTTTTGTTTCCTTTTCTTTCACTTATTATACGTATCCTGTTGGATCTGCAAGGAAATGTTGACCCTTTGTGGGATTCACATTCAATTTCTCTTGTGATCAGCTACAGGAAAATTCACTATTACATATAGCCCCTATCTCAAAGATAATGTGAAATTCTTTTTAAGGTTTCTGCAGTTTTGCCTTAGTCACTTCCACTATTTTTGTTAAATAATGTTGAATGCTGCTACTTTTCATTTTTATAAACTCTGGAATGATGGATTGTGTGCCAATTAACATATCTAAAGTTTTTTTATTTGTTTGTTTTGGCAGCAAGGAAGGAAGAAGGTTAGAATTATAGTTCTGACTTCTTTCTGATAGAAAACATTTAAAGAAAATCTGTGAATTTTGAAAATGCCTTGAACATATAGCTTTAAAAATACAAAGCAGGAGGAAGGTACAAACACTAAATCCTATTTTTCATTTAGTTTTTTGTTTTTGTTTTACATCTTCCATTCTAGCAATTGATTAACAATTTCCTGGCAGTTTGCAACCTCATAATTCAAGACATGTAGCTAAATCAGTAAATTATTCCTGGGCCATTTGCACCATCTGCTGTGTTAAGGGCTGTCTGATGGGTGGATGGAAAGACACCTGCTGACAGCAAAGTGGATCTCTGATCATGAGAGAAATAAACAGATGATGGCTGGCAAAGGGACAAGGAAGTAAAATTTTCAACAGACTTGTAATGAGAGGAATTGAAATCTAAGTTATAATCTTATGCATTAAACTTCCCACCAACCAGTCAGCCACTATAAATACTAATCATAAAGGTAAACGCTCTTTTCAATTTGCACAACTATAAGGCAGAGGTGGTATTCAGCAGTTTCTGACCAGTTCTGGAGAACTGGTAGCGGAAATTTTGAGTAGTTTTGAGAACCGGTAAATACCACCTCTGACTGGCCTCGCCNAGCCCTAGGAAGCGGTATATAAGTCTAACTGCTATTGCTATTGCTATTCTAGTCCAACCCCCTGCTTAATCAGGGAGACCCTAAACCATTTCAGAGAAGTGGTTGTCCAATCTCTTCTTAAAAACCTCCAGCGATGGAGCTTCCACAACTTCTGGTGGCAAGCTGTTCCACTGGTTAACTGTCCTCACTGTTAGGATGTTTCTCCTTATTTCCAAGTTGCTTCTCTCCTGGATGAGTTTCCATCCGTGGCTTCTTGTCCTGCCCTCAGGAGCTTTGGAGAATAGGATGAACTCCTCGTGTACGTGAGATATTGGAAGACTGCCATCATGTCTCCCGTAGCCCTTCTTCTCATTAAATCAGCCATACCCAATATTAGCAAGTTAATAACTTAACTTAAATTGCCTTTGGATCACCTCTTGGTGGGTTTTCCTTTCACTCCTGAGTTCTGCCATAAAGCGCCAGTCCTCCCTAGCAAAAAAAGCAGGGAAAAATTATTTTAAAAAGTGTATTGCAATTCTCTGCATCCTTTCCTCTGGAAGACCATAAAGCGGAGTCTTAACATTTGCACCCAAGATGCAAAGGTCATCAAACCGGAGTCATAAATAGAAGAAAGGGGAAAAAATTGGGGCGTCTTGAATAAATAACTGATTTTGTTTGTTCCAGTCGAGCTCGCCAAAATCCTGGGAGAGGAGGAGAAAAATCCAAGCTGCATTTAACACAGTTTACCCCCCGAATTGCATTTTCTGGAAAAGTTTCAAAGTCTACCTTAAGCGCTGTGCTATAAATAACCCCACTGTGCATGGTTAAAAATAAACTAGCTACGGAAAACAGGCTCTGGAAAGATGTTGCTACCCTCTTTATTTTTCTGAGTGAGTGAACGACGAGAATAAACAGGAGCTTCCGAGGGAGGAGAGTTAAGGAGAGGAAGAGCCAGAGGTGGGAGAGGGAGAACTGACAGGAACAGCCCAAGAGGTTGCCCCATGGCAAAGGAATGGGGCATGGCAGCCTGTCGACCCAGCTGAGGGAGCTCCAGAAGATACATAGGGATTGGGTGAGGAAGGGTGAGAGTTTGGCAAGGAAGTTTATCTGGGAAGAAGGAGATGAAAGAGAGAGAGAGAGAGAGAGAAGGAAGGAGAAAGTCGAAGAGTGGGCTGTTGGTGCTCCCTAAGCAGATGTTTTGTGGCCCAATTAGGTAACATCATCAGCTTTAGAAGGGAGGGGGATTTGCAAAGATGAGGAGGAGGAGGAGGAAGAGGAAGCAGAGGCAGGAGGAGGAGAGGAGGAGGAGGAAGAAGAAGAAGAAGAGGAAGAAGAGGAGGGAGAGGAGGAGGAAGAGGAAGAAGAAGAGGAAGAAGAGGAGGAAGAGGAGGAGAAGAAAAGAAGAAGCAGAGGAGGAGGAGGAAGAATAGGGAAGAAGAGGAGGAGGAAGAGGAGGAGGAGAGAAGGTAGAACAGAGGCAGGAGGAGGAGAGGAAGAAGAGGAGGAGGAGGGAGAGGAGGAAGCAGAGGCAAGAGGAGAAGAGGGGGAGGAGGAGGAAAAAGAAGAAGAGGAGGAGGAAGAAGAGGAAGAGAAGAAGAAGGAGAAGAAGAGGAGGAGGGAGGATGAAACAGAGGAAAGAGGAGGAGAGGAAGAGGAAGAGGAAGAAGAAGAAGAGGAGGAGGAGGAGGAGGAGGAGGAGAGGAGGAGGAAGCAGAGGCAGGAGGAGAAGTGGGAGAGGAGGAGGAAAAAGAAGAAGAGGAGAAGAGAAAGAGGAAGAGAAGAAGGAGAAGGAGGAGGGAGGATGGAACAGAGGCAGGAGGAGGAGAGGGAGAAGAAAAGGAGGAAGAAGAAGAGGAGGAGGAGGAGGAGAAGAGGAGGAGGAGTGTGGGGTCCTTGAGCTGGTTGCTTTCTTGCAGACATTTCATTACCCAAACTAGGAAACATCTCCCATGCTAGCAGTGGAACATTTGCAAGAAAGCCACCATGTTCAGAGAGCACCAAGGATCTCATGGCCAACTTGTGTCGATTCCTGGAAATGTGGGACTTCATCTGCCGTCAAATAAAAGGTCCTCGGGTGAACTTGTGAAGGACACGTCCTGCGTGGAATCTGCTCTTGAAGATTCCCTATGAGCTCCTAGCGCAGGGATGTCCAAACTTGGGGACTTTTAAGACTCGTGGAAGACGTGACGGCTGGGGAATTCTGGGAGTTGAAGTCCACAAGTCTTAAAGTCCCCATGTTTGGACACCGCTGTCCTAAGCAGGAGGAAAAGGAGCGTCAAGGCCTCCATATCTCTTGCTTGGGAACGCCTCCCCCCACCAGGTGCCCCTGGTTTACCCCCCTGGAAGACACAGCTGGGCCTTGACCTGCTCCAACAGGTTGACCTTCACATCTGGGAGAGGAGCAATGGGAAGCCATGGCTTTTTTCTCCCACTGAGCTGAGGTTCTCAGCCTACATCCTGCGAAGCTGGAGGCTGAGAGAAGCCGAAGGGCTGGTGAGTCACTTTCCACCCTGGGGTTTCAGCTTTTGGCTTCCTGAAAGCAAAGCGGGCCTCGGATTCGAAAGCAGAGGCGGCCGGCGGCCCCCACCGTATCTGGAACCGAAAACCTCCGATTCCTTTCCACGCTGAATGAGATCTCGCTTTTTTTTTTGTTGTTGTTGTTCCCGGCATCAGCAGCTGGTGGAAGAGAGAGAGCCCAGACGGCTTCCGTTCTTGCTAACCCGACGTTGCTCCTAGTCGAAACCCAATTCTTCGTAGAATCGGTGCAGATTCTACACCAGTGTTTCTCAACGTTGGCAACTTGAAGATGTCCGGACTTCAACTTCCAGAATTCCCCAGCCAGCGAATGCTGGCTGGGGAATTCTGGGAGTTGAAGTCCGGACATCTTCAAGTTGCCAACGTTGAGAAACACTGGTGTAGAATCTGCACCGATTCTACGAAGAATTGGGTTTCGACTAGGAGCAACGTCGGGTTAGCAAGANAGATAGATAGATAGATAGATAGATAGATAGATAGATAGATAGATAGATAGATGTAGATTGACAGGTAGATTGATAGAAATAGGTGATAGCTGGGTAGATAGATGGGTGGATAGATAGATGTAGATTGACAGATGTAGGTTGATAAACGTAGGTGATAGATGGGTAGCTAGCTAGCTTGTTAGATAGATAGATAAAGATTGACAGGTAGATTGATAGAGGTCGGTAGTAGATAACTAGGCGGATGGATAGATGTAGATAGACAGAAAGTACCGTCACACATATATGCAAAGGTAAAGGATTCCCTGCAGATTTTACTCTTGCTAGTCGTTCCTGACTTTAGTGGGTGGTGCTCATCTCCATTTCCAGGCCATTGAGCCAGTGTTGTCTGAAGACATTTCCATGGTCATGTGGCCAGAATGACATCATGGAGCATTATTCTACACACACACACACACACAAATTAATCTCATATTTATACTCTCTCTACAGAAGAGGTTTTATTCTGTCCAGGCTGCGGCCCAAGTTAAAGGCTCTGCGGCCCCCCGCGTGCAGCTACCCCCTGAGGAACTCGAGGTCAGTCTGAACTTGAAAATGCTTTGCATGTTGATATTTTGGTCAATGGTGAGAGCCACGTGAGTCTTGCATGGACTGAGATCTCTTTTCCCCTAAATGCAGATTACAAAATTATCAAGCGGTTTGATGATTGCCTCTTTGGAAAACTATTGTCCAGTTTCTAGCATCGGCCTCTTCATTAAAGCAGGCAGTAGATATGAGAGTTCCAGCAACTTGGGAACGTCGCATCTGCTCCGTCTTGCAACCAGCCTGGTGAGACACTCCGTTTTTTTCATTTATTTTCAGAAAATACCTTTCAGTTTATTAAAGTCGAATGTACCAAACAGGAATTTGAGATTGGAGAATCAGTCAGGCAAGCGGAGAAAAGTCCAGGCAGATGGGTTTTTTTCCAGTGTTTAAAAAAAAATGGCCAAAAGAGAAAGGATACAGAACAGCAGCCCCCAACCTTTTCTGCACCAGGGACCAGTTCCATGGAGGGAGGGGTTTTTTGCAGACCGGATGGGGTATGGTTTCATGTACTACCTCCATCCCACAGTCTGGTTTCGGGCATGCGGCCCAGTGCTTGTCCACGGACCGAGGGTTGAGCACCCCTGATATAGAATGGTCCAGTTAGCCAAATTGGTGGGCCTGAGATGGCTATCAAATTCTGCTCAGCCATTGGCCTCCAACATTAGAAGCTTTGAAGTGCAGTGGGCTAATATTACCCGATTATGTAGTAATTTGGAAATAATGTCTTGACAATACGACGAATGCTTTCGCATAACACACTAGGCCAGTGTTAATTTCACCATAACGTGAATAAGCTACAATGATGGCTTAATTTAAAATGCTTAAAACCAAATGTTGTAGGGCCATTTTTGCTATTTAAGTAATCTTAACATTTCAACATCGTATATGTTACTGGTACCCAAGTTTGCCTTCCTTCAGAGTTAGCATTAATGCTATTGATAGGTTCAGTTTTCAATCAGTGAATTTATCTAATCTTTATGTCCCTCGCATTTTATCATATTTTGTCATCACGATGGGAGAACAGGGTTCGGAAGCTGTGACTCTCTAATAAAATCTAGTGCTGTTAGGATGGGCAGGTTCTAAAACTTAGGAATTTCCCCAACATATTAGTTATTTAGCTCAATTGGAGTGGTGCAGTGGGTTTCATCCTAGGTAATGGTAGCTATTTCTCTCTCTGGGCACAATGTGAAACTATCTGCTGTGAACTCTGCATTGGTGACAGGAAGGGCATCTGCCAGTAAACACTCAGCTCCGTTCAGTTACGTCTACAAGGGATTATGGGGTCATTAAAAGACAAAAAAAAAAGATCATTTAGCTCAATTCTCCTTTGCTTTGCCTCATCTTTCTCAATCCTGCCCATTATAAGCTAAATAGCTGGAAGAAATGTGATTGATTCAATGCGTCTGATTATAAAATGCCACAATGGCAAAAGATACATTTCTTTTTCTTTTTTCTTTTGAAAAGTTTTTTTATTGTTATAATTGAACAAAAACACAAAAAAGAATCA